GAGCAGTCCAGTCAAGGATAAAGGTCCAGCCTGTGTGGACAGTCTTGGGTGGCGAGGTGGAACCTGATTGTCCTTGGGAGGGAACTCTCTAGCATTTGGGATGACCTTGCAGATGGTCAGTGGGAGTGGCTCCTGTCACCATGGTTAGGAGCCTGACATCTTTGGGACTGTGTTCCTCTGTTTTGGCTACGTCCTTATTTCTGTTGTGATTTATGTTTGTGACAAATACTTTAGGTTGCCTAACAGAAACTTATTTTGGGAGGGTAGAAAAGTGCTTCATTTTTCAACCTCCCTTAAAGGGAGGGGCGATTACACGATGTGAGTCCAGCCCATGGAATGTGAGCTGCAGTCATGGATAGGGCTTCCCAGTTGGCTCTTATCAAGGGTTAGGTTTATCTGGCATGCTGCACATGTTTTGCTCTTCACATTCTCGTTCTTGTCTGAAACACAGCATGATGCTGAAGGTAGAGTGGATGTCTTGTGCTCGTACAGTCACAAGAATGAGGATGGGTGGTTGAGTGGAAAGACAGAAGGAGCCTGGCTCCCTGAGGCCCCGATCTGTCCTTCCCAGACATTTTGTCATGGGAGGAAAAAAAATGTCTACTGACTTCAGCCACTGTCAGCCACTGTGGGTTTTTCTGTTACCCCCGGGGAGTGCTGTGCTAGTCAACGTGAAGGTCAACTTTGGGACTTGCTGATACTTCTGTTAAGGCTGTTGACTTCATCGTACAAGATGCTGACAGCTTGAGAACTGAAGGGTGTGAGTACCTTGTCTTTGGGAGCCCTTGTTCCTTCTCTTTCCCTAACAGTGGAACAAACAAGCAGTTCTTTACTTTCACATCCTTGGAGGAGAGAGACATTGGGCTGGGCCTTTAAGCATAGCTAATTCTTTCAGGAATGAGGAAAGTGTAAGTCAGGGTGGTGTGCTGGAGCTGTGCACAGATTTGAGAGAGCCGATGGTGCATATCTCTTCTAATAAACATTCAGTGAGGTCAGTTGGTGGCTTGAAACTCACCATGGTGAGAGTATTTAAGTCATGAATGCAGCAAGTACTACAAATCAGCATTCTTTCCCCCTTATTCTGGAGAGCTAGTTTTTAAACATATACCAACACACCCTTGGAAAGGTACAAGGTTTAGTTTACTGACATCAATATTGTTTCATAGCTTCTCTTGCTTTCCCCATGCAGTCCAATAAGCAATAAGTGAGGAGAACCAGGGAGCTGCTGATTTATACTGAACCAAAGCTGAAGCCTTAATATGTCTTTGGGCCTAGGGGGACCCCTAAAAGTTCAGGCTAAAAGCAAAATTAATTTTACCTCACTTTGGCTGTAAACATGTCATCTGAACATGCTTCTGCCTTGACATGCATCTCCTTATGTCCTGGTCAGCCTCCCACCCCGGTCCTGCTGATGATCTACAGGGCCTTGGCTTTTGCAAACCTAGTGCTTTTGCAATTTGTGTTACCTGCAAAAGCCTCTGACCCTGGGAATGGTGCCAGGCTTTATCTCCCACCTCCAGATACCTCTTGATCATCTCTGATCCAGCACCTACGTGCCAGGCAATCCTCTAGGTTCTGGACACACACTGGGCTAAGCAGACAAAACCCCTGCCTCATAGGACTGACATCCTAGTAGGGGGCTACGGCGCATGGTGTTTTCCAAGCACAGGTACGCCAGTATGTACACCACCCACATGTTGTTTTTTGGATGTGACATGCTACTCCTCTGCCAAGAGGTAGGGTCTGTTTTTCCTTCTCCTTTGAATCAGGCTGGATCTTCCTAACTGCTTCAACCAGCAGCATATAGTTGGTCATAAAAAGCAACACAGCTTCTGCCTGGCTCTTTCTCTTGGGACATGTACCTTTGGAGCCCTGAGCCACATGTAAGAAGTCCAGCAACCCTGAAGCTGCAATTCTGAGATCCTGAGGAGAGGCCACTGGAAGATAGTGATACCTAAGGAACTCTTAGCTGTTCTAGGCTCCAGCTGTTCAAGTTTTTCCAGGTCAGGCACCAGACACATGTATGGCCAAGCCTTCAGGTGATTCTAGATCATGACTTTTGAGCCACCCTTTCTGTGCTGAGTGGAGCAGAAATGTGTTGTTCTTTCCAAGCCCTGCCCAACCTGCAGATTAATGAATGAAGTAAATGTTTTTTTCCTGAAATTCTTTAGAACTTCAACATATGTGTTTTTGGGGAACATTTCAACCCATAATAGTGCCATTACTGGAATCACAGGTTTGCTCCTCAGAGGGAAGCTCCTAATTTTGCAGGTCTTAGAATGGTAAATTATGTGAGTTAGCCTCCCTATTACACACACGTGTACATGCGCACATGCGCACACACACACACACAAAATGGGAATGCATGTATGTGTATAAAATTTTAACATAAAATGTATTATATTATACATATTTGTAGGCAACTTGTTTTATGCACTTAACAGTATGTCTTGAAGGTCCTTGCATATGAGTACATATAAATCTACCTTATCCCTTTTTATCATGATATAGTGACCTCATAATATTGATCTCCCATGGGTAGACATTAAGACTGTTTTAAATTTTTTGGTTAGGGTTAGCCCTAACCACAAACGTAATGGTTAGTGAATTTTTAATTTTCCTAACAGTAGTGCAACAATTCTCGTGATAAGAGAATATCTTGTTTAAAAAAACTGCTAAATGGCCTCAAGTTAGAGTCAGAATCCACCCTGCATGATAAATGAGGGAGGGGAAGGAGGACAGGAGCAGAATTCTCTGGGTGTCAGAGTCTTAAAGGAGGTGGAGCCAAGAGGAAGCGCCTTGAAAGAGACAAGGCCAAGGGAGGTCTTTGCAGTTAGATGATTCACACTAAATGAATGTAAGCTCAGTTTTCCTTCTGCCCTCCAAAATACTGGAAATAAGCAACAGTGCTCACTCAGTAAGAGTGGAATTACTTAATTATTCCACAGTAACTATGACAGTAACTATGATTTCTGTTCTCAGACTTACTTTCTGAGATTTTTCCCTTTGGGTTTTGGGGAAACCCTCATTTAGCAAGAGGTTTAACCTTTCTCCAGGCAAATTCTGACTCATTTTAGTACTGTTCCTACTCTTCAGTAAAAGAGTTGTTGCATTTCATCTCTTTACAAAAGTCTGTGTAGAGGAAGCCTCATTTCTACGGGAGACAAAAGGGTATTAGTCTGATTGGGCAGAAACCAAGACAGGTACTAGTCCACCTGTTACTAGTGTGTGCATTTGTGCACATGTGTGTCATTATGTTATATAGTCAGAAACCCGACTAAGTTCTTAGTCTCTCTCCTCGCACACAGGTGCATTCAGACCTCTCCTGCTTGCGTGCACTGAGCATAGCCTGGGAGGGACCTTTTTCTAAGAAAAGTCCAGTCATATTCACATTCTCAGGTCCAGCTCCTTGATGATGTGGTTGGAAGGCTCAGTGGACTCCAATCTGTTTTGCTGTCCAGTCATTTAGATTAAGAGGCAGGAAAAGGAAATTTCCCTTATGCTTCCAGGCCGATGTCTTGTGCCCCAGAATCTCTAACCATGGAAGCCCCACATTTGAGAGTGTTGGGTTCTCCTGGATGTGCTGTCTGTCCCTCCAGAACACTCTCCATCCTTTTCTATCCTGCTCTGTGCATGGGGAAGCCTGCCCTGTATTGCCTATATCAATCTGTTCCCTTGCCCCTCTGTTCAGCTAATAGAAGACATCAGCAAGAAATCAGAGGGAGGGAAGAGTGAGGTTGGGGAATTTATTCTCCCAGATCTCTCCTTCAAGGTCTTTGGTGCACTGGTTGCATCCCTGAACTGAATGGCATGGCTCCTGCCATGTGGCACTCTCCAAACAGTTCTTTCTATCTCTGGGTTTTCATAATGGTTCTCTCCCCTTATTCCCATGGTGGGCCTAGGCTTGGAAACAGCTGCAACTAGCCCTGAGATACTACATTGTTTTGTGATTGCCCTTTGACTTTGCCCACACTTTTGTAAATAATCCCCTTGTTATTAAACTTCACTAAAATTATCCAATTTGCCTTCTCCTACCTTTTGGGGACCTGATGAGGGCTTTGTTGAGTTGTTAATATAGCTGATGTCTTGTTTCCTATTTGGTTGTAGTCAGGTGATGCCTGGCAGGTGTTTGATAAGTACTTGTTGACTGAATGAATGACTAAATGTGTGAGTGTCAGAATTTGAACTCCAACCCCTTCTTTCTAAACTTCTAAAAACCAGTTAAGCATTTACATGTATTGTTGCTTGATACACTCCAAGTGCAATAAACAAACATAGGTTCTATGGCTTAAGCTTCCCGGGACTTCCACTTCTGTGAGTTTTCCCTAGTGATTCATACCCAGGTGTTCTTGCTAGAGGAGCAGTAAAAAACAATAGAAAAAGCATTTGAAATATACAATATAGTGACAGCATCATGTCCATTGGGTCATGTCATCACCCAATGAAGAGTAGGGTGATTTCTTCACCTCAAGAACAATTAAAATATTTAGATCCCAAAATAAGAAATAAACATGAGTAATTTTTACTTGCATAGGTTATGGTTTTAAAAGAAACATATTGAATGAAATGAAGCTATAGCCATTGGTTATGATTTATGAAGTTTATTTGACCTTTGTTATAATTAATATTATATTAAACATCATAACATTATTATATATGAGGTAAATTTGATATGACAACCTTGTAATTATGCCTGTGGTTACTAACAGTTTCGCAATGGCAGGATCCCATAAAAAAGAAGGAAACCTTAGTCTTTGTGACAGCATGGATGGACCTGGGGGGCATTACGCTAAGTGAAATAAGCCAGTCAGAGAAAGACAAGTACCATATGATTTCACTTATATGTGAAATTTAATAATAAGCTAACAAACTAATAACAAAACAGAAACAGACCCATAGGTAGAGAACAGACTGACAGCCATCTGAGGGGAGGAGGGTTGCCAGGCTGGTTGAAAAAAGTGAAGGGATTAAGCAAACAAAACAAAACTTGTAGACATGACTGCAGGTCAATGACATGTATTATGATTACGTGTTTATTGTGCAAGTGTTAGAGGAACTCTTTCAAATGATCAGATGTGAGGTATAACTTCCAACTCTCTGGGTAGATACATTTATTTCTCAGGGGAGATGCCATTATGGATGGAGCTTAGATGAATATCAGGCAGAACAGTCCCAACCTCCCTTGTCATGCCCAGCCCAAAGGGAGTTCCTAGTTGTTTATAAATTTGTTATATTATAATATCTTAGGGAGAGAGATTCCATGAAGTTCCTGCCCAGGTGGTTCAGCAGGAGACTGGTCCTTACCAACCAGGATGTGTCATAATACATCTCCTCTTGGCGCAGAGCGCCCGCTTTGATGATCTCCAGGGCACAGTCTTCTTTTGGAGCTGCTTCTAAGTTGAGTATCCCAGAAATTGCCTCCATGGCTGAATCTGTAAGTGGCCAGAGAAGAGTGGGGTTATCCCAGACTAGTGGAGTCTACTTGGCGAAAGGCCTGCTGACACCAATAACTTAAGCATTAGGGGCTTTTTGCCAGTCTTTGCTCTGCAAAGCCCATGAGCCCTATAGAAAATACAGGGGTATGTTGAGGGCCTGTTGGGCAAAGAGGGGCTTAATACAGGCCTAGTCTCCCTGGATGAAGATTTGCAGGGGGCAGTTAGAGCTAATTAGTTGAGAGATTTGAATCACGTTCCTCTCTTGGGTGTTTTTGGTTGGAGTGAAGGAGTAATATGGGGGAGCAGGACAGAGAGAGGTCATATGAGGACCCAGTAGCTAATGGGAGGTGTCAGTGGGCAAAGACAGAGTGCTGTATGGTAATGATTTACTGACTTGAGAAAGGAAGAGATGCACAAGAATTCAGGCCTTTGCTCCCTTGACATTGCTAACAGCTTTCATTTAGAGGGAAACGCGAGGGTTACCTTCTCTCTCCTTCCAAATTTCCATGTTCTTGCACAGCTTCTGTCTCTTTCTCCATCCCTTTCTCATTTCACTGTGTGTCTCTTTCTCTCTCTCTCGTTCTGTAACTGCTACTCCAGTCACTCAATTACTCTTTCAATAAAATTTCCTTATCATATGAATAAACTTGCACTTGGACTTACAGAGAAGTTATGAAAATTTTACAAAATATTCCATTATATGCTTCCCTTATATGCCGTCCCTAATCGTAATATCATACATAACCATTACACAATTATCAAGAACAGGTACAATGTAATTGGAACAATATTATTAACTAAACTATCGATCCAAATTTTTCACCAATATCCTTCTTATATTCTAGGATCTTATCCAGGATTTCACTTAGTATTAAATTCTTATTTTCCCTCTAATCTGTGACAGTTCTTCAGTCTTTCCTCATCTTTCATGGGTTTGCCCATTGTACCCTGATCATAGGAGTGAGGTTATACATTTTTGGCAAGAATACGATGAAAGCAATGCTGTGTCTTTCTCAGTGCATCATCTCAAAGGGTTATATACTGTTATATCTTATTACTGGTGATATTATTAAGAAAAACAAATTTGTATTTGATAAGTCTCGTATAGAACAGTAATGGTCTTTGGCAGTCCAAGAGGATATAGGTGCTCAGAATAGGATCAGGTAATGAGTATGGTGTCACTCAGCGTATTTGGCAGTCAGAATGGAAAGAAGGGGGTCAAAGAATAGTCAGAGGCTTCACTAGGGATAGCAGCACTTCATTAAATGAGAGCTAGTGCTCACTGGTTTTTAGATCATTACACATGAATCAGGGAGTTAAGCACCTTCCTTACCCACAATGGTAAGGCAGGCAGTCCACTTGCAGGCCATTTATTCCAATATCTTGACCTTACCTGTGTTTATGAGGCCGAGGATACAGAGAGTGACTGACACATTGACCTTGGTCATTGCGTATTCCTTCCTGATGGAGGAGAAAAACCCGTCGAGAGCAAACTTGCTTGCAGAATAGGGAGTAATAAGTGGACAAGCTGTTTTCCCTAAATAATAAAGAAATGAGTTAATAAGATGATCCCTTTCAGCTCTGAAGAACTGATCTTTCCTTTATTTGTAGCAGGCTCTGCAACTCCTGTGGAGTTCTTTTACCGTTTGAGTTATAGTTTTACTCTACGCCCTGTAGAGATTATCTTGCTGTACTGAATTTATAAAAGAAAAAATTATTCTTCTCCATCCTTAACATGTAAAGAACTCTTAAAAATACAAACAAATCTCTTTAGAGAACCACTTCAATTCCATCCTCAATTATGAGCTTTGGCTTGGAATGACTCTACAGGCAAGTTCTTGAAATAGGTGTGTGGTACAGGATGTCCAACCAGAGTATGTGATACTGACTCATCTAGTGATGATTCAAAGACCCAGGCAGAGTTGCAGGACATGTTGTTGGTAGCCTAATCAGAATTTAGTTCCCTTTCCTTCTTCTGTAACATAACCCCAATTGAATGCACATTTCTACCTGTTGCAGATGCTGCCAGTATTCTCTCAATGTATTTTCCTGCCCTTCTTCCTTAGTCATAGAACCCCTGATGTGTGGCTGGGATAATAGTTATCTGAAACAAAGCCCCTGTTTTTCTGCTTCTTTGGGCCAGATGTTGCCAAATGACAAAGTGCTGTCCTTTGGGTTGTACACAGCAGTGTATCACGTGATTCCTGAGATATGTCTTTAAAGGAAGAAGCCAATCTCTCCCTTCCCACTCCTGTTCCCTCTTGGTCTCTGAAGGTGGATATGATGGCTCCAGCTCCAGAACAGTCTTGGACCATGAAGTAGAAGCTGTCTGTTGAGAATGGCAGAGCATTGAGAGAGAAGGAGGGAAGCTGGGCGACCATGAAGCTGCCATCCTAGTCCTAAACTGCCGACCTCCAGACTTGATTTACGTTATCCCTTATTTAATTTACTGGCATTTTAGGTTTTCTGCATCAGAGAGTTGAACCTAATCTTCATTGGTAGTCCTCCTCACTTTCATGCAGACCCTGTGCCAAAATTAAACGCTACCCTCTCTAACTCTAGGGGTGGGCTTGTATAATTTATTTAATCCCATTCTCCTTGTCCCTAACTGATAGAGGAATAAATACGTTGCCCATTTGGACAATGATATGCAAGAATTTTGTTCTTCCAGGAAAGGTTATTGAAGTAGCAATCCTGTCTCTCTCCTGCTGAGCATTTTTGCGTGTGGCTATGGGGGCTGGAATTGCCGCAGTTACCTCACTGCCACCCTGAGGATGAAGTTCATTATATTTTCTCCTTTGCAAGAGTTTAGGCTTGTAAGCCCTTACCTGAAACCTTTAGGGACTATTTGTGTTATGGAATTCAGAATTATTTTTGGATTTTAGAAGGTGGTGTTGGGCATATATTTATATAGCCATACATAACACTGCCAGTAGGTTCTGGGGAGGCGTCCTGTAAGCAAACACTTCATTATTTCTCCAGTAATGTATTTGTAAGTTCACACTGAGATAAAGGCTTTAAGTAACCTTACTCCAAGTTCAAGTTAAGTTAATTATGTGGCATTAATTATGGAAAAAATCCTTAGTTTTCAGAGCTTGCTTGCTTGCTTTATTTATTTATTTACTATTTTACCCATAGTTTTTTGGATTTTGGAATTGTAGATAAAGGATTGTGAACAAGTCTAGGCTCAACGAAGGAAAACTGGAACACATCAGAAAGTAGACAAAAAGAGAAAAGCAGAGAGAAGACTCTCCTGGGTTTGCTATTCCAAACAACCCTGGTACATTTCATTAAAGTTTGTTTTCTATTCACCATACTGTTCTTAAACATTTTTCCATAGAGTGTTAATTAGTTTGTATGCAGCAGCCTGTGCATTCTACGGTCTGGAAAATATATTTAGTAGTTTTAGAAAGCTGAAAAGGGCAAAACCTCCGATTTTTATTTTTTAAGAATGGTTCCATGAGTTAAGAGACTTTGATTAAAATGGAATAAATAATATGTAACAGGGTGTTAAAATATGACCTGTCCTGCTCTGCTTTCAGCTGAGGTTCAGAGGCTGAGAACACAGTAATTGGCCAAAGACTCCATATTCTTTAAAATTTTTTTGTGTCATTTATGATATTATGGTTGTCCCAGTTTTTCCCTCTTTGCCGCCCTCCCTTCAGCCCCACCTCCCCACAGTCAATCCCACACCATTGTTCGTGTCCATGGGTGATGCATGTTCTTTGTCTAATCCCTTCATCTTCCAACCAGTCCCAACCTCCCTCACTCACATCTTAGAGCTGTCAGTCTGTTCCTTGTTCTTGTGCTTCTGATTCTATGTTGCTCATTAGTCTATTTTGTTCCTTAGGTTCTAGTTATAATTGAGATCATAGAGTGTTTGTCTTCTATTGCCTGACTTACTTCACTTAGCATGACAGTCTCCAGTTCCGTACATGCTGTCTCAAAGGGTAAGAGTTCCTTATTTTTTATTGCTGTGGAGTAGTCCATTGTGTAAATGTGCCAAAAACTTTTGTATCCACTCTTCTACTTATGGGCACTTAGGCTGTTTCCAAATATTGGCTGTTGTAAATATCACTGCTTTGAACATAGGGGTGCATAGGTTCTTTTGAATTGGTGTTTCAGAGTTATTTGGATATATTCCCAGAAAAGTAATTGCTGGGTCAAATGGCAGTTCCATTTTTAATTTTTTGAGGAAATTCCATACTGTGTTCCAGAGTGGTTGCACCAGTCTGCATTCCCACCAATTGTGCACTAAGGTTACCTTTTCTCCACATCCTCACCAGCCCTTGTTTGCTGATTTATTGATGATGGCCATTCTGATGGGTGTGAGGCGATGTCTCATTGTGGTTTTAATTTGCATCTCTGCTTGCTAGCAATGTTGAGCATTTTTTTCATTTCTGTGTGCCATCTGTATATCCTCCTTGGAGAAGTGTCTATTCAGGTCCTTTGCATATTTTTAAAATTGGATTGGGTGTTGAGTCCTATGAGTTCTTTGTTTATTGTGGAGATTAAACCCTTGACTGATGGCAAATATGTTCTCCCATACAGTGAGTTCCCTGTTCATTTTGCCAATGGTTTCCAAAGACTCCATATTCTGAAGAGAAGTTCCAGACAAGAGACCTTACATAAGATTTGGCAACACAAAGAAGTAAAACACACACACACACACACCCCCTCAAAAACTAAAAACGAGTTTGCAATATGTTGACCCTCCACCATTCCAAGGGAATAAAAGGTCTGAGGCTAAGAGGCCAGAGAGGATGGGAGTTATGGAGAGGAAATGAGCAGTGTCTTAGGGGTCCTCCAAGAAGAAGAAGAAGGGGTGGGAGCTTACCCTCATGTTAATCCCTCGTGGGGAGCTTGTCCCCTGGAGTTTGAGATGCACCAAGGACTGACGTCTGACCCAACCCGCAAGGCTCTGATTATGGGCAGCACCACTGCAGAGCTAATGCAAACAGTGTCCTGCATGAGGGAACTCTCCCAGTGGGGGGCCTGAAATCCAGCCCACAATCGACGCATCACCCTATGGGCCTTGTCCTAGAGCTCATCCCTTCTTCTCTGGAGTCATTTCCAATCCTGCCCCAAAGGACAGCCCGAAGTGGTAAGTGTATTCCCCTTTATTTCCAGGGTCTGAGGGAAATAACAGAAGCAACTGCTGGCCAAATCGCAGGAAGAACTACCAGTATTTCAGCAGGGGCCTCCCAGAACCCATGAAAGCACCCAGCGCCAGAGTCAGTGTGCTCAGCCCCCCAGCCCAGAGAGCATGAGTTTTGAACATCTGCCTTGGCCAGAGGAGAACAATGCTGTAATAGCTGGGAGCTAGCCAAGTAAGGCCTTTCCTGCCCCAGTGCTCTCTTCTTCCCTGTAGTCTCCACTTTCTGTTATACAGAGAGGCTAGAGGATGCCTGGTGAGTTACGAGAAGAAAGGGGAGGGGAGGAAAGGCTGAACCTTTCTCTTTTTCCTACCACAAGTTTCCTGCAAACAGTAGCTTGATGATGGGAGAAACTTTAGTTAAATTACACATGGCTGGACATTTTAATTTCTGAAATGAGACTGTTCTGGAGACCGGAAGCAGCTGGGGGATCTTTGATTATCCTGGAGTGTTGCCATCTGCCCTAGATCACGCCCAGGTTCAGGGTAGAGCTCACCCATAGAATAGGTCAGAAGAAAGAATCAAGTTGTTTTCTCATTGCATCCTACAAGATCAACTTTTTCCACCACCAGTTAAAAAATATGCCAGAGGAAGAGCTCATGCTCTTACTCTGAAATGACTAAGTAAATAAATACACCACTCTAATATGCATGAAGCAGGCATGAGAGTGAGGGGATTAGAAGCCTGAGTGCTTTGCCCAAGGTCAAGTTTTGGTTTACATGGGGAGAATGCAGCTATCACAGCAGGATAGATACATATGGCAGCTAGACGTCTCTTCTGGGAAGTTTTAGAAACAAAGAAACAGAGCTTTGGTGACCATGTTTTTTGAAACCAAATATGGGACATGGGAGTCTGAAAAGTAAGAGTGCAGACTTGGTGATAAAAGGGAGAGGCTGCAATGAGCTCTCTCCAGAAATGCTGCGATTTAGCCCCCGTAGAACCAGGAGGAGCCCGAAGGCTGGCAGACGAAGCCGTGTGCTGGAGCTTGCTGGCTGAGCGGAAAGGGCAAAAGCCAGGCCTCAGTGCTTTTATTAGTCCACCCTACACCATCTACCCGCAACTGCCTTGGTGAGATTTCAGAATTATTTCCATTTCAAAGGCAGACTTTAAACTGCTTTAATCAAGAGCTCTGAAGAAAGTGTGCAGGATTGAAAGGCCTCATTTCTGCCCTGGCTAGTGTGGCTCAGTGGATTGAGTGCCGGACTGCAAACCAAAGGGTCCCAGGTTCGATTCCCTGGGTTGCAGGTTGCAGGCCAGTTCCCTGGTAGGGAGTGCTCAAGAGGCAACCACACATTGATTCTTCTCTCTTTCTCTTTCTCCCTCCCTTCCTCTCTCTAAAAGTAAATACAATCTTAAAAAAAAAAAAAAGAAAGAAAGGCCT